AAAAAAAAAAAATAATTTTTTATTGTTCTAGGTATAGCTTTAAATGTTGATTTAAAGAAGAAGTAAAAAAAAAAAAAGGCTGAACCAGATGTGCACATTTTCTATTACTATTAATGACTCGATTGGTTGTTTGGTTTTAAAATGTTGTTATGGTTTTTGTTTACAGTAACATTGAGGTTATGGAATATCTGTTATACTCTATTTCACTTAAATAGCCATCTTTTCAATATTCTACATTTGGTTGCCAGAGACTGAAGGTAAAACTTTATGGTGCCTTAATATTCCGTGTTTTGGTAAAGTATGTTTAATTCTGTGTGTGCCTACGTTTATACATATTTATATATATCGTTCAATAGACGTTTGCCTAGACCAGTGGAAAAAGTTAGAAAAAACTGCTAAAATTATCTGAGGAACATTGTTTAACAGATATCTTGTCTTGACAGTTGATTTATTTTTGTCTATTGCTAGTTTTTTTCACAAAATAATTTTTTCGGGTAGCATTCGTCAGGTTTTCAGTTTCATCTTAAATTTTTTTTATTAAACGAAGATATTTTATTGTTACTATTGCAACGAAGCGTGCTTTTTCTGCCGTCAGTGTACTTTCACCCATTGCTTACGGGATTCCCAAAATCGGCTGATTCATCTGTGATAGTCATGTCTGAGCACTTTTTGCTGATTTTCTCGTGGATTAGTGTTGGAAAATCATTTCAATCCGCATGGCCTGTCGCAGCAACCCTCCCTCAGCCTCCATTTAAGTCATGTTGTGATGGACAGTGGTCAAATTATGAAATTGCATGATGCTTAGTTCAGTCAGCTTTGGGAGTTAAGAGGCTGCCCTTACTTTTCTGGGGGTATTACTGTTATTGTAGCACTGCTTATTATAGTTTTACCGCTTCCATAGTTCATCTTCTTTATCAAAACCAACTGATAAAATTCCTCTCCAGACAGACGTCTTTAAGCTTGTGCTTATGATAATTTTCTCAATTGATAGTCGGTGTGCTCACAAGATTAATAAAAAATTATAAATTTGAGAAGTGGCATTCTTGATATATGTGTTTGAGTATGATTTGGGTATCGTTCCTCATCGACTTCTTTGGTCACCTCAGTGGATCAATATTTTTTCTGTGCACAGCTAAAACGTTATGATTACAGGAGTATTTTTGGGCAGGCCAAAAAATTATTAGGAAATATCGAAACCGCGAGTGGTAAGGTTGCTTGTGTGGAAGATTGATCCGATGCTTCCAAACCTTTTAGTGTTGCGCTTGAAAATGCAATCATTATCTATTAAACAATGCGTCACCAACAGGTTGATGTTATGAAATGCTATGGGAATTAAAACGGAATTACAGGGCTGGAATGTTAGAGGATTAGTGGGAAGTACTTATACAAGTCTAACTTTATTGGAGAGGGGTCCAGAATAGTATATGCAAAAAAAGTGGAGGTAGGCTGACGGTGAGCGAAAAAAAAAAGGATTTTTTATGGTGGATACGCTTAACTGCAACAAAGGCTTTTCCGTTTTTAATTTATTTTTTTTTAACAAAAGGAAAAAAAAGGAAACAATTTAATAAAATTTTCAATTTGTTTGCTGCTTTTTTGAAACATTTGCGGCCTTCTTTGCTAAAGTTTGGTAATAATTACGTACAATTATAGCGAAAATTTATGGGCGTCAAAGATGAGGCCTGCCACTGCCTTCACATTGTGGTCGGTCTGCCGTTCCGTCGCTGTTTGTATTTGTGTTGTCTGTGATGTAATGGCTGAAGCAAAAAGAAGGTAAAAAAGAAAAAATGCAGAAGTTGTTCAAAATAAAACAAACAAAAAAAAAAAAAATGAGACGGAGAAGTTTTTCCGTCTTT